TTCTCATCTACTTTTCTCTTTTTTCTTGTTTGTAACAAAATTATGTTTCAACTTAAGTATAGAAATATTAGAAATATATACATCTATGTATGTATTTATATATACTATGTGTATACATGGAGAAATCGCCCAAAAATTGTTCTACCTCACTTTCTGTGTGGCTGAGTGTGTGTGTGTGTTACCTTTTTTTTGTATATGCGCAAGCGACGCTCTCATAGCAAGCAGCAAGTGAGAGTCTAAGAGAGCGAGTGGTCCAAAACGCAGAGTGTGAGAAAGAGAGAGAGAGAGCTACCAAAGCGCCTGTAGCCTTGATAAAATATATGAATGAAATTTTCGTTTTCAACGCAAAGTGTTTTTTTATTATTAGTTTTCATGCTTTGGCTAACTATAAAATCTAAAGTTTAAAATTGAAATGAATGTTGTCCATGCCACTTGTCATGTTTACTGGAAAGTAAAAACTAACCAATAGGCGCAATAATTTTGTATACAGGAGTTTTGTTGTTGTTTTAGCTGGGGCTGGTGCGCTCTCGATTTCGATACAGGCTCAGCCTTGCGTGCGCGCTCTCTTGCTCTTTTTGAGATGATGCCTGTTACATCTTTGTTGCTTGGAAAAATTCGGACATATATTTGCTCCATGAAGTTTTTCCACAGTGTTTGTCTACACGCCCACATAGTGTGTGCGAATATGTGTGATTTTGCGAGTGTATTGAAAAACTAAAAGTCGCCCGTTCGTCGCCGTCTGCTGCTTTGCTGCTATTGCAAAAAAGAAATCGCTTTTATAAAAAATGATAACATAATTTTCGCATTTAGTTAAATATAACGGGGCCTGCTCTCTCTTCGTAGTTTAAATTGTGTCTAACACTCAACGAGTTTCCAAACAGTTGCAAAGCAGTTCGAGTCGTCTTTCATATTGTGCCAAAAAAAGAAGAAAAGAAGCAAACGAAACGAAAAGAAAAACAACAAAGCAACGAAACGCATTACCAACAACAACAACTACTACTACAATAAGTCAGCTGAAACGACCATCAACAACAATTGAAGTACTCCAGTTATCTTCTCGTCTAAAGTCAGCGTAACTGTAATAATTACAGTTACACTTCTTTGTTGTTGTTGGCACTTGTTTTTCGGAAGTTTGTGCAGCAGCAGGCTCTGAATGTCTTTATGCTTTAATCATGGTGTATTTTGCCACCAACAAGAACAACACCGACACTATTCGCTGCTATATTAGAATCTTTCTGATAACAAATCATGACAGAAGGACATGAAAGGTAAGTCGAAACTCTGTCGTAAATATATTGCATTATTTAAGTAATCATTTAAGTTGACGGCGTTGCCAGATCAGTGATGAGCCTAAAACTGGCTCTTTATGTACAAACGTACGTGCCTTAATTGCTCCCGCTCCCAATTTAATTTAAACAATTGTTGCCAATTTACCAAGCGCAAAAATACAATTTAATTGAACGAAAATACAAACAAACATTTCTGAATGAAATACGGCACTATTCAAGGCAAGTTAGGCATGAATGAAATGTGACTCATTTGTCTGTCTGGTCAATCATCCAAGACATCCGCATATTAAACAAACACACACACATATATTTAAACATGCAATATTTATGTACATATATATGTGAACACAGGCAAACATACATACATACACACATGCCTGCATATGTATTGTGTATGGTGAACCGCCGTGTCAATGTCTCCACATAGTCTGTCCGTCGCCAGTTTTAATGAATGAAATGGAATGCTAGCAACTATCTTGTTTTTTTTTTTTTCTAATTGTTTTTCTTGTTTAAAGCGTAGCGCCCCCATTGAAAATGATGTCACTCGCTGATGCCCTGCGCGTTTGTTTGCTTCTTTATGTGCCGCATATTGAACAATTTATAACAGGCAGTGGCAGAGGCGAAGGCGGAGACAAATGGCTAGAGCTATAGCTAAAGCCAAATCACTTTAGCTAGGCTGTTTGCCATTTACAATTTGAGTACCACCAACGTCTGCGCAACAGAAACAGAAACAATAATAATAAAATACACACAATAACAGAATCAAGGTTCTTGTAGTTTCATTCATGCCTTTGGTTCGACATTTGCTGCTTGGAATGAACGGCTTTCATTTGCATTTTGCATTGAATTTTCATTCATTAAACTACAAATATACTTTTTTATTTATAAATACATGCATACATACATATGTATGGATGCATGCATGTAAATTGTGTAAGTCTTTCTGCAACTCGTTTCGGTATTTTTGATCCTCTACTTCAACAAATACAATAACAGTTAATTAATAATTGCATGCATTTTACACATAAATAGATCCATATGTATATGTATGTGCATTATATATATTAGCAGCTAACGCGTATAACATAACTTTCTTTAAGAAGTATATTTCTGGACTAACATATAATACACATATGTACACACACATGTACGTATGCAGATCATAGACAAATGCTTGAAACACTTGACAGCAGTGACTAGCTCCTGTTACTTTGCACACATACAGACGCTGGGTGCCCGATTCTCTTTGTCTCTCTCACTCTCACTCTCATTTTCTCTGTCATACGCATGCGCTCTGTTTGGAGTTTGTCAATTGGGGATTTTGTTTCTGATTTGGGACTTTTAATTTTTGCTTGAGGCAGGCTTTGTCTTCTGTCTGCAGTGGAGTTTTGTGAATGTATGTGTATGTGTATAAGCATTTTCATCGTTGACGGTATGTGTACATATGTGTGTTACATGCATGTATGCATATATATATGTTTTGCCACACATGCTTATGTATCTATCATAGTGGCAACGCTGAGCCTGCGTTTTTTTAAGTTGCCACCAGGGCTACAGAAAGCTTTTTTCAAAATTCCAATTGCATTAATGCATCTGTCGCGGCCCTGATAGTAGAAATTGCAAACAAATCGCGTTTCATTCATGGTAAAGCAGCCACATTAATATCCTTGGCCAGACATGCTGACGTGTGCGTCCTACCTTGAGCGCGAGCATGCACATATACCCATATACATACATATATGGGTATAAATATATGTATACAAATGCGCTTTATCGCTTTGCAAGCTGCTGTGGCTGCCACTAGCTAGTCCTTGACATAGCTATGACGTCGTTTTCTGTCTACTTTGGTAGACCCTCTGTGCATTTTCATTCTGTAAAATGCTTGCCAAATCTAGGACAAATGTATGTATACAGCCATACACAAATACAGGCAGGCAGGCAGGCAAGCGAATGGAGTCAGCGGCGACTGGTTACAACTCCTCCCTAAAAGCTTTTTCATTGAGTAACTTTGCGATTAAAACTCCATTTCATACTTCTGCGCAGGTCGTGAGCTGCTTTGTTCGCTTGTGGGTCGAACCTGTTTCTGTGTGCAGCTCCGTTTTGTTTTATTTTTTTAAGAATGAAACTCAAAATGGAAGTTTCACAGGTTCTTGATTCATATATTTTTGCTACCCTTAATATACAAACTCACACAGACCCCCATGCAAACGTATATGTATATGTGTGCTTGTAAGTTTTATACATACGGAAATTGTACATCAATGAATAAAAGCTTCTATGTGTGTGTTTGTAGAAATAGCCTTAATGAATGCATATGCTAACAGGTTATACTGGCAAGCAGAACAGCTAATTATATATAAAGGATCAAGAGCCAAATCGATACGAGCGTAGAATATGTGAATATATTGATTATTTTAAATGTGTGATATCAACTACGTGATATATAAACTATGTAGTTGATAATTTAAATATATAAATTAACTACAGCTCGTTGCCGAATTTAGGGTGATTTAGAGTCCGTCTCTCTTGAGCAGCTTTTAGTTTATTCTGGCTTTGTCATGAGCAGGTGTGACACAGGTGCTGCATATGGAGTCGGCAAGGCTGTGCTGCTATGGCTTCGTTGGCCGAAAATTGAATTAGCCAAATTAGCGACACTTTTAGGTTATCAGCCGGCGTAATATACATAGCTGAGAGCTAATGCCACAGGCTAATGCAGTCAGTTGACAGCAATTGTAGCAACAGTAACACAAGCAGCAGCAGCGGCAGCAGAAATAATGTCCACAGTTGCTTATCACAAACTAAGCTTGAGGCGCTCGTTCAGCAGGTGTTTTATCGATATTTATCGAACTAGTTATATTAATATCATAAAAGTTTTAGTTGATTTTGAAGTATTATGTTTTACAATTAACTATGTAAGAAATATTCTAAATTGTAATATATATTCACTAAAATATTCTTCTTCTTTTCTATCCAATCTTGCAGCGACTTCTTAGTTACAGTACGCGCACAGGTAATGACCAGGGACGAGAGCACCGAGGGCTGGCTACCGCTGGCTGGGGGTGGTCTGGCAAATGTTTCGATACGTAAACGTGCCAGATTATCCCCATTAGCATCGGGTCATGACTACATCATCTATGGGCAAAGAATCTCCGATCAAAGTGTGAGTAGAAACAGACATCCCTATCTATGAGGATATTACTGAATGAATGCATGTTTTTCTATTCGGTTCCTTTTTTTCAGGTTATTTTAAGCTGTGTCATCAATCGTGATCTGAAGTATTACAAAGTAATGCCCACATTTCATCATTGGCGCGCCGGCAAACAGCGCAACGGACTAACATTTCAAACAGCAGCCGATGCGCGTGCCTTTGATAAGGGCGTGCTGCGCGCCTATAATGAGCTAATTGATGGTATGATCACTCTACCCACTATCCATGGATCCTTTCCCAATCCCATTTAGCTGCATGTTGCTTAATTGATCAAAACGAAAAAAAAAAAAGAAAAACACAATCGATATATTTTCTCTCGCTTCTTTTACCTATGCAAATATACGTTTATCATTTATATCTCTTTATCACACACGCATACATACACATACACGCGCACACACACACACAAACCTTGGCTAATTACACTTCTCCTTTAGACGTTGCATTTAGAATTTTTCGCCTTCATTAACTAATACAAAATAAATGTTTTATGCTCTTTTTTATAAAAAAAAAACTTGCTACAAAATTACAAAAAAAAAAAAAATTAAACATTTTATTGGAATTGTGAAATTTGTTTCAAAATTAAAACAATCATTAAACCAAATTAACAAAAAATATATAATTTTAAAACAAAATTGGTAAGTGTTCAAGGAGGTTTCTTTTTTAAACAAGTGTGTGCGCTGCATTTTTATTATTAATATAAAAATAACTTTTTTGATAAATACTTGATGTACAACTTTCATAAACTTCCTGCAGAGCCTAAAAATCATTTATTTTAGACATACATTAATTTCTGTTCAGAGTTTCCTTAAATATGCAAAACAAGGACAAAACATAAAATTTACGATATATTTTGAACACTCCTCGTATATTATGAAAACTGATTTATAATAGTTAATATATTGATATAGATTTATATACATATATCAATCTTAAAGTGCGTATTTCTCATCAAAGATCCACAAAAATTGCAGCGCAAACCAGCTATATAGAAAATCCGTAGTATTTTATTTCATTTTAATTTTTTCAACTAGTTTACACCAATGAAAAACATTTAGTAAATGAAATTTCTGTAAACTACAATTGCTTAAACACACTCTCTTAACTCTGTGTATTTGAATATGCTTTTCTTCAGCTAAAAATTGACAATGCTCTCTTAACGCTTCATATTTGATTTGCTTTATAGCTTGTATTGAAATTAGCGTGTGCTTGGCTAACGTTTATTTGATATAACTAATCAATTTCTTCAAATATATATATATATAGGACTGGCGAAATCTAATCCCACTATAATATGCCCACCATTGACCAAATATGATTCGGTTGGTGAAGATGATGTATTCATGGTGAGTTGGAAAATGTTTAGACAACCAGATGAGCAAAGCTTTCTAAAATTATACCATTTCCAGACCCTGGACTTACCTGTGGAAAGCGAAAGTTTACAAAAGATACATTCAAGCCCCGAAGGCAGCGAAAAAAGTCACAGTAATGAAATTAAAAACTTCTTTCATTTGTTTATATGAAATTAATTGATCTCTATTGTTCCACAGAAAGCGTCAGCGAGCGCCATAAGGATAGCTACAGCAACAATTCCGATTCCGAGAAACTACCAGCGGCTACCATACACTACATATCGACGGAAAAAACATCAACGGCTCCGGGCTCCGGCAGCGGCAACACTGGCAACGTTGGCGGCTCCACGGAGGGGCCGCCGCCGCCGCCTCCACCTGCAGGTCAGATAGCGCCCAGCGAGAATTACTCGTATGTAACGCTGACGGCTGTCCACCATGACTACAACTATCCAGTTGTGGAGCAGCCAGTTGGCGCCCAGGTGCTGAATGCACGACGCGAGTCAATCAGTGCATTGAAGAAGCGCAATGCTTTGGAGGCGGCACAGGCAATGGCCGCTGCACAGACATCGGCGGCGGGTGGAGCCAATAAGCCGCTGCACAAACCCAATGTATCGGATATACTCAAGAAGGAGACGCGCCTGCGTTGCCGCTACTGTCACGAGCTGTACAGCGAGGATTTCAATAGGCGTGGCGCATGCGAATATGCACCAGATCCGTTTCGCAGCGGCTACGAGTGCATCTCGGGCATGGGCTGTGCACGCTGTATGATCTATCACTGTATGAGCGATGCAGAGGGTGAGACCGCACAGCATCCTTGTGATTGTAGCGTTAGCGAAGCGGGGTGCACCAAGCGCTGGTTGGGCCTGGCGCTGTTGTCCCTATTCGTTCCCTGCCTATGGTGCTATCCGCCGTTGCGCGCATGCCATTGGATGGGCATACAGTGCGGCCTCTGCGGAGCTCGCCATAAACCACATGTCTGACATTTGGAGGCTAGATTGCAAGGACAGTACGATGACGACCCCAGCACCAGGCCCAGAAACCAACAGCAACCTCACTCTGACGAGAATACATATAAGAGCCAGCTATTGCGACTCAAGCAGCGGCAGTCGCAGTTGCAGCAACCGCAGCCTCAAAGGCACTTTTATAACTGGGAACTCTCCCATAGTCTGGGCGCGCCCCAACAGCAGCCGCCGCAGCCGCTGTATCTGATGCAGCCGCGCAGCAATAAGGCCGCTCAAAATGATTATGGTAGGCTTTTATTTTGAAAACTGACGAAATGACAACGAGAGTTCAGTTGCTGTTATGTTCCGTTCTGTGCTATTCTATCATTGCTTTCATTTGCCAACTTTTGTTTTGAGTTATCATGTATCGAGTTCAAATGACACCATATGATTTGCCATAGATTATTGTATATAGTAGAGCAGGTAAACCACTTGCACTTACCGTCTATAGGTCCATTGAACATCCACACTTATCAGATTCAGCATTGAAATAATTGTAATTTATATTTTAGAACTCTTAATTATTAATTATACTTTTGTAAAAACCGGGCTATTTGTTTTATATATATACATATACATATTCATATTCGTATCATATAACAATTGTAGTTATTTTTAGTTTTTTAAGTTTTTTGCTACTTACATTTTGTTTACAATTTGAAATTGGAGAACAGTATTAAAGCCAATGTCAGGCGTGACGGATATATCTAGATGCCAATATAAGCAAATTTGTGCGTAATTCCAATTCGTTTATAGTTTTAACAGAGCGTTTTCCCCTCTCAAAGAAATTACGCCGTAATGCGAAATGAAAATGAAAAGGCAAAATTGAATGCAAATGTTGCGGGAAAAAGAAACTAAAAATAAAATATAAAAACAGCATACAATAAAAACAAAAAGGAAAAAGAAAAAAGAACAAAAAAGAACAACACTTAATGAAAAACTACAAATTGTTTTTAAACCCTTCAAAGCGAACAACGTCAACTTGCAGCAATTTGTGTTTTCAATTGTTCAACAAGAATTCAATTATGTCAAAAAAATTTGTTTTGCAAAAAAAAAAAAAAAATCTTATTCATATTCATTTTCATTTAAAAAAAGAATGTTTTTGACTCTTCTTAGGGCTCATGAAGATTCAAAATATTTCTTTTGCAAAAAAATCACACAATCCTTGTTTCAAATGTTAAGTTAATGAAATAAAAAAAAACCAAAAACAAAAACTAAATATGTTGTTATGAAAACACAAAATTGTTGCAATTGCGCGGCTGCATCGCTTAAATAAACCTTTAATTAAAAACAATTTGTAATTTAACCCATACAAATGAGTAAAAACTCATTTAAACAAAATACTTAAAAACAAAAACTCATATATGCAGTTATATATATATATATAAATGTGTATAAAACGTATTAAAGAATGCAAAGAGAAAAAAGAAAAGAAAAATAAATTACTTATGTGCAAAGAACCTAAGTAATTTTTGTGTATTAAAAATGAAATTAATAATAATAAAAAGCATTAATTTATTTCTTACTATAAATGCATATTTATTCAAAAATAAGCAAAGGTTGTGCAAACACACATTAAAAAACAAAAAAAAAATCAACAAAGTATATTAAAAATAAAACCTTAAAACGGGCAATTGTTAGTAAAAATGCAAATGCTGTATCTAAAAAAAGTGAAAAAAAAAAAATACAAAATGAACAAAAGTTGTTTAGATCAAGTAAACCTACCACAAAGAAAAAAAAAAACAAAAACAAAAAAACTTTGAACAAAGAACAAACACTCAACAAAAAGTACAAAATGTTAAATATACATGTTTAATTTTAAATTACTTTTATTATTTAGTTAAAGCTACAATAATTTTTAACATGTAAAATGATCCACAAGCATGCCAACATACAAAACATAAAAAAAAAAAACAAAACAAAAGAAATATAAAGTATATATATTAAATGTATTTCAAATTTTAACTGTGCATAAATAAACAAAAAACAAAAACAAATTAACTTTCAATGCGCAACAAAGAATAGAAAAAGAACGAAGACACAACAAAAATACGGACAAAACTAGAAGTCAGCAACAATAGTAAACATTTCGCTACATTATTTATTAACAAATTATCACAACAAAAAGTAAATATTCTAGAGATTAATAGTTAATTGCAGCAATTTGTTGAACACCAAAAAAAAGAAAAAGAAGAAACTAAATTTTTCAATCAATATTTTGGTTATTTACAGTACATAAAATGAAAACCACATAAAATTATGAGTAAGTAGCCGCATATAAAAGATGGCATTAAAAAGTAAACAAAATAAATGATATATTTATTCATATAAATGTATTTGAAATGTGAAAAAGAAAAATACAAAAACAAATAAAACAATTTAATAAACAAAATTAAACTATTTCCTTTTTGCAACAGTCTGGCAACGACATGAACTATGCCAGGAAAGACATGAATGTGTATGTAAATGTATGCATTTATGTTTCGTAGCTGGCATATCGCATATTTAATGTGGAAGAAACATAATCTGCGTATAACCAAGACTTTTTCTTAAATAGTAGCTTGTTTACTCCGCAGACACAGGCATCGGTGGTTCAGTGGTAGAATGCTCGCCTGCCACGCGGGCGGCCCGGGTTCGATTCCCGGCCGATGCAAATTACTTTTTTTTTTCTGTATATAATTTGTTATTCGTTTAAGTTTTTATACCCTGAACCCATTGAAAATGGGAAATCAGGGTATAATGGTTTTGTTGAAATGTATGTAACAGGCAGAAGGAGGCGTGGCAGACCCCACAAAGTATATATATTCTTGATCAGGGTGACGAGCTGAGTTGATTTGGCCCTGTCCGTCTGTCTGTCTGTCCGTCTGTCCGTCTGTCCGTNAAAAAGTTATTAAACAATTAAGTTCTCATAGTAAGCGCACACTGCAGCCCGTGCGTGTTTATGCGTGGGTGCTTGTGTGTGTATGTGTTTGTGTATGTGTGTGTGTTTCTTGTGTAAGCTGAGAGACGCGAAAAATTATTGAAATAGCTAGCACTCCAAGGGTTCAGGGGATCTCGTAGTCGAGCAGTCTCGACTAGAGCTTTCTTACTTGTTTTATTTAGTAATCTTGACGTTTCGTTAGTTTTAAACAATTGAATTCAAATATTTATGTATTTTAAACCAGACTGGTAGACGCGCCGAAGTTTAGTGCTACAACACACAAATATACAAATAAATTTAACAATAATCTTTTTTGAGGATTTTTATGGTCCAATTTTGCAAAACGCGATAAACTTATTTGGCGCAATGGACGAAGTAATGAAAAAACATAAAGAATTAGGCCAGACTAAAACAAAACCAGCCGGTGGCGAGCTCACGTGCAGCGTGCACTTTGTCAAGTAAGTTTCATCAATAGCCATACAACGTAATGGGAAAAATAATTGGCAAGAGACGCTTTCCTAATCTTGCACGATATTAATGCATATTAATAAAATATGAAAACAATAAGCCCCAGGTACAGTCCGGGAAGCTCATCCGAAGACGAATTAGGCTCGGTAACAAGGTTGGTCTCAAAAGCTGAAGATTTGGAGCTCGCACGTGTTTTCAAACGTCAAGCGGCAGATATTGCCAAGAGTCGTTCCTTATTTGAGTTTGGGCACAATTTCGAAGATGTGCGCGACTGGCTGACCATCGAGCAGCCATCAAAAGTGTGCTTAAAGACCGTATTACGCTATATGGTGGAGAATCATTTGAAGACAACCGTCAAGATTGAGATCAATAAAATGTATTTCAATTGCCACTTGCTTGTGCTGCAGGCCTACTCCAAGTATTTCATGGAGCTCAATCCGATTCCGTTCGTTGTGACGCTGCCAGAGTCGAAGGTGTCCCAAAAGGCATTTATGCTCGTCTACAAATGGATGCTCAGTGATGAGCCGATCCTGGAGCGCAAAGACATTGTCACCGTATTTGTGGCAGCCACTTATTTGAGAGTGAAGGAGTTGCTGTTGCATTGCTGGAAGTATTTCGATGATAAGAACTGCTTCAATGAGGCCTCCGCCTGTGTCATGTACGTCGAATCGAGAAACAATGTGGCCTTGGATGTTGTGCGCAATCTGATGCTGACGCGCATACAAAAGTTTCTTCTCACCTTTGTGGCAACGAGCGATTTCTTAGATTTGCCGCATAAGCATCTTGTCTATCTTCTGTCCTCAGATGAGATCTGCGTAAATAGTGAAATTGAGGTCGCCTAATTTTCTCTTTTTTCTATTTATATTGTAACATTTTATTAACTCTGTAGATACTTTTCATTGCTGTACGCTGGCTGGGACACGACTGGGAAAGGAGAAAAGCGAACGTGCAGAGCCTGATTGATTGTATTCGCTTCAGTAGCATGCCACTTTGGTATTTGCTGTGCGTACGGCGGGTGGAGACGCACAGTCTGCTCAAGGAGCTGCTCAGTTTACCGACTGTTGATTCGCTCATCAATCAGTCCATTGCACAGATTACTTCCAAAATGTACGAAGAAAAACAGGAGGGATTTATTTTAGATTACGATTGTATCACAAAGAATTTACAACAGTCGCGCCGTTGGATCGTGGATGATGCGTGTCCTTATTATCATCACATTTGCTGTCCGCATACGCGCGACATCACTTTTACACAGTTCGAATCCTATTTAGCCGCGTTGCAGCAGCAGTCAATTGATTATTGGACCAAAGTGGATATGTTGGATGTAAAGAATCCGAGAAAGTGTGGCTGTATGCAATAACGGTAAATTCAAATGCCACCAGCCAATAGAAAATCAAATTTGACATTCGCAGTTATACGTTTTTATGCTCAAAAAAGAAAATAGTCCGGCAACGATACTTTATTGCATTAAAAAGAAAGAAGTCTGGCAGCCTAGGCAACAGCTGTTTTGTTGACGAATTTGTGTTTTTTCGAGGTGTTGTTTACGTTGCTCTAATAAATAAAATGGAAAAGCTTGAAGCGCTTAAAATTTCGACAATGCGTCCGCGCAGCAATATACTGGATCGACCACTATCCAAGGGCAAATCCGAGGTTTCACACAGCATTGTGGCTTTGCTCTTCAGTGAAATTGTTCAATACTCCCAGAGTCGAGTTTTCACAGTTCCCGAATTGCAGACAAGGTAATTTCATATTTGCTTGACGATTGAGGGAATTGAAAATAATACATCTTTTAGATTACACGATTTGGGTCAGGATGTGGGCACACGCATCATTGATTTGTACTTTGTGCGCGAACGCAGCTCCAAGCGTGAGACGAAGCTAACACAAATGTTGCTCTTTGTGAAGACAACCGTGTGGAAGAACTTGTTCGGCAAGGAGGCCGAGAAATTGGAGCATGCCAACGACGATGAGCGAACCTACTACATCATTGAAAAGGAACCACTGGTAAACACATTCATCAGTGTGCCCAAAGACAAAAGCTCACTGAATTGCGCCAACTTTACGGCTGGCATTGTCGAAGCGGTATTAACACATTGCGGATTTGTAAGTGGCCATTTAAGCTTAATTTGGATTCATATAAAACATATTTACAAATCTTTCAGCCCTGCAAAGTAACGGCACACTGGCATAAGGGCACGACGTACATGGTCAAGTTTGAGGACTTTGTCATAGCGCGCGACAAGCAAATGGAGGAAAAATAGAAATATGCTTAAATTATTAATAAAAATAACTTCTAATTACAAATACCCAACTGATAAATGTATATTTTTACAATTTTTCATTAATTTGATTCCGCAAGATATATTGCCTGAGAGTTGAGTAGAGCCTTAAATAAACTTGAACCTGCGATCTTTGTAGGCCACCTGGCCGGTGCGATATTTCTGTTCACGGCCATCGCGCTCGCTCTTCAGCATCCAGGCGTATATCGCAATGGGCAGCACGACGGCGAAGAGGCCCGTGCGGAACGCATGTCCAGTGGGACGAAAATGCTCAATGTGTGAGACGCGCATGGCCTGGAAACGGGCTAGGCCAGCATCGAACTGCAATCAAGTAAATATTTATTATTGAGCATTCCAAAATGCTGGCATGTGATGACATAACCATTATTTGGCACTTACCACAGTGCCGCCCTCTCCAGTGGCATGACGGAAAGGATTGGAGCTCTGCTTCAAGTATTCGTTACGCAGCTTAAGTGTGTGCTCATGCTTACGGCAAATGAATTCCTCCTGATCCTTCGTGACAACCATTTTATTCTGTTGCAAAACTCAACTTGTGCTGGGCAACAAAAGCAAATGCCTAACAGCTGTTTGCAAACACTAAGAAGCAGACAGTTTGGCATTCGCATCGAAACGTCAGCGTTTAAGTGTGGCAGATGGCAACTCTAGCTAAAAGCACTTGAATAAATTAAAGCTGGCAGTGCCGTTAATTGTATATTCAAATTGTTTAATCTGAGTGCGGGGCGGCCGCATGAGTAAAAGTTTTGCTTTTAACATTAAAAGTCAGTGTTTCTGGTGAGTGAAATTACTAATTTTATGTTTATCGAATAGAAAGTGTAGCTTAAGTAATTTTATTTTCACTCGTTTTTGGACTAGTGTTATAAACATTGAACATAAAGTCTGCTGCTTCGTTGCTGCACCCCAACAACACCGTTATACGCACGCTCAGGCTCTACTGCTCTCGCACACACACACTCTCTCTGCCTTTCTCCTTCCCCCTCTCTCTCACTCTCTGACCTACTCAACACATGAAGACATAACTGCGCATGTCCTGCAAAGTGTTATGCGCAGATCTCGTGTCAATGTCCTGTTACCCAGACATTTCAACTAATTTGCCAAAATTCTTGTACGAGTTGCACTGAGTATTCAGTTTTCCAGTGAGATAACGATACTTATTTATTTTTTCTGCTTAAATAGTTCAGTTATTTGTCCAATAGTCATTTAGTGTAATTTGAACCATCTCTGGTTATAAATCAATACCCTAAGTCGCTATAAGAATTGCCACTGCGCAAGACAAACTTCGTCCTCGCCGTCCCACACACGACCAATTGCGTGGGTGTGATAGAGAAGGCGACAACCAAACGTGGCTGAGCCAGAGAGAGTGAGAGAGAGAATAGTAAAATGAGCTAACGCGCATGTTCTACGTAGTTGGGCGTTTATATTGTTGTTGTTGCTGCGGCTGCTGCTGCTGCTGGCTTGGTTGCTTTTCCTCTGCAGCTCTGCTGCTGCTGGTGGTGGTGCACTTGGCTTAGCTGTGTTCGCTTTGGGGGTTGGGTCAGTGGGTTTGGTAGGCAGCCGAGCTGTTTGTCACCGCGGCACGCTTACCTGCTTTAGGGGTTGTTGTTGCCCGGGAGTTGCGCTGTAGCGTTGCTTCCATTGCTTTGCCTTTCACTTGCCGACTGTCGGACGTAGCGTAAAGTTCTCTTTTGTTATTGTTGTTGTTGTTGTTGCAGGACTGTATGAAAGCACCTCAAATGGTTTAATTGCAAACGCAACGTGCTCGTTTATTGATTTTTGCATACAAAACATAAGTCATTTTAGAGGTAAGTGATTTAAATTGATTTCCTTCTCAGCCAAGAAATAATTGCAGTAAATTCGTATTCGTATTCGTATTCACAGTTTTTGCCATGAGCGTTAAGTCGAGTGCACGGATAAAGAAGCGACGCTCGGCGGAGGCAGCAGCCGCAACGGCATCCCCATCCTCTGGCTCCTTTGCGGCCATCAGCAGTCAGCGCGGCGCTGTTGGCGGCAGCAGCGTCGCCAACAACAACAGCAGCAATAGCAATGGCAATGGCAATGCCAGCAGTGGAGCCAGCGGCAGCAACTCGAATGCCAATCAGAATCTCAGCAAGAAGCACAATTTCGTCGGACGTAATCCCAATTTCGATACGGACGAGACGAAGCTGCTCATCCAGCTGTGGGGCGATCCGAAGCTGCAGCGCACTCTGATAACAACGCACAAGAAGCATGCGGTCATCTGTCAGCTGGCGGCCAAGATGCAGGAATATGGCTATCATCGGTCGCCGGAGGAGATCACGACGCGCATCAAGAATCTCAAGTGCTTCTACAATCGCCTGAAGAAGGACAAGGAGTACGGCATGTCCGGCGACACGGAGCCCAGTTGGAAGCATTTCGCTGAGATGGATGCCATCATGACGCGTCCCATATTCAGTGTGCGTCCCAACGAGGTGCCGGCACCGTCACTTAAATACCAATTAGAGCAGGCATTGGAAGAGCATGCGGAGCGTCGGAAACGCCGCCAGGAGAACGGTGAGGAGCTGTCGGAGAGTGAAAACGAGGAGGACGACATTCTGCTCTCCTCGCTGGTGCCCAATGGCACCAACGTCAGCAAGTCCAAGCCGGATGACAACGAAGGCGACGTCCAAGTGGAAGTGGACCCAGGCGACGTCTCGCCCAAGCGGCGAAAGCTCACCTCTGAGAAGGATGTGGAGGATGACGAGGCAGCTACACTAGAGACTCGCATTAAGACTGAGCCAGTCTGTCAGCCGGAGTCAACTCCAGCGCCTGAGCTGAGCACAGCAGCAGCAACAACAACAGCAATTCCTGCCGCAGCTGCCGCAGTTGCCCCAGATCCCGAGGAGGATGATGATTGCATGCTGTTGCCGCTGCCGAAGGAGGAGCCCATCGATGTGGATGCCGTCGAGGAGCCTGTTCCCGCATCACCCAAAATAGCCAGCACAGGCAATGTAGTGACGCCCACGCGTCCTGTGATGCCCACGCTCACGGACATGCTGCAGCTGCCGAAGAACACGAATCTGCTGCCGTACAGCGGCGCCAATGTCATCATACCGGCCAATAGCATCAGCACCAGCGTCTCTCAGCTGACCAGCACAACGGCCAGCAGCAGTGCGTCCAGCGGCAAACTCACTCCGGGCAAGATCTCGCTGGTGCCCACGAATTTCCTCATGCAGCCCAAGCAGGCGTCCAATGCGACAGCAGCGGGCAAAGCGGTGAGCGCAGCTACCGGGACCCAGCTGCAGCTGCTGCAGAGCGCCATTAATCAAGGCGCACGTCTGATGATCAGCGGCTCGGCGCCCACGCCCGTGCAGGCGACGCCCAGCTCCGGTCTGGTCACGGGCCCCGGCGGCGTCAAGTTTGTGCTGGTCAATGCGGAGCAGGCGGCGGCGGCCAAGGCTGTGGCAGCTGTGGGCAAGCCGACGGCGGCCGGGATTACCACGGCAGCGCTGCCGCAGCAAACACAGCAGCAGAAGCTGCATCAGCAGCAAACGGAATACCTGACGCAACAGCAGCTCCAGCAGACACAACAGCAGCAGCAGCAGCAGGTGCAACAGTTGCAGCAATCACAGCAGCAGCAGCAACAGCAGGTGCAACAGCAACAGCAACAACAAAATCAGCAATTCGAGAAAAAAGAGGAGAAACGTCGCGCCCAGGAAATGCTGCGCGAGGAGCAACAGTCCAAGCGGCACATGACAAGTGAGTCAGTTGATGATTCCCCCTAGAGACAATCATTATTTAATTTAATCATTTGCTTCTATCCACCCAGCCATGAGAATCATGCTGCGCCAGCTGCTTAACGCCCAAAACGAGGCCAACGAGATCCAACACAACCGCCTGTCGCTGGAGCGTGAGCGCCTGGACTGGGAGAAGTCAATGGGTGAGCGTTTGCTCACAATGCTGCCCACGCTGCTGCAGCCAACGGTGGCAACAGCTGCAGCCGCTGCGGCTGCTGCTGCAGGAGTTGCGCAGCCCGGACCGACGCATCAGTCGCCACAGTTCATAGTCTCAAGTCCGGCAGCAGCGGCGGCGGCGGCGGCATCGGCGGCACAGCGTTTACAGCCGCCCAAGCTGCTCTTTACCACCGCCCTGCCCATGTCGAATGGCACCGTCTCCATGCCCCACATACTCAATCCAAACAGCGCGCTGGCCACCTCGCTGCCAAAGGTCATTGGAGCACCGGTGACAGCGTCTGCAGCATCGGGTAATGCAGCTGGAACAGCTGCCAGCAATGCATCAAAGACCGTAGATATTTGCACGGATATTAATGAGGTACAGCTCGTCACTCCCAAGCTGGAGAAGGATTGCTAATTGTCGACAATTCCTTTCCGCTTTTTTTTTGGATTTTATCGCAGTTACCAAGAGAATACTCAAATAAACTATACACTAAAATGTTTATTGCTATCTAAATATAATGTATACATATTTTAATTAGGATATATTTATTTATTTATTTAGAGATTAGATTCAATATAAAGCTAATACTGGCAACTAGAGCCTTACTTAAGATATATTTACGATAGTTCTTTATACTAACATTCACTCGGCTCCAAATATTTTATATATTTAGTTAACTAAAGTTTGTGCAATTTCAAATTCGAATATCTTGAATCTTCGAATCAACATTCAATGATTTTCCACATTAAGATCCTTCATCATTTAATGTTCCTGGATATCCTATCACCAGGATATGATAAATTTGTCCCAGTTGCTTATATTAAAATTCACTCTGATCAATTTTTGTTTAATTCATCTTTTATTTGCATATCGGAAATTGAAGTTTAAACTCTAACGGCATATGAGCTGGAATAGCCGGAATACTTGGAATGAGAACTTCTTCACCTTCAAATGATCAATGATGGATTGGTTATCAACAAAGATGTTCCATTCCAAAGTTTTTATTGATTTAGGTTCCGAAGTGTGATTATTACAACATAGTTGGCAGAGATTAGAGATTAGCTAAGCTTTCCGTTTGGATCTCTACGTTCTTGTCGATACAACATTGCGAAGCAATTGTATTTTCTAATATTTGGCAATTCGCCTCGATAGTCAAATTGTAATGCTTATGATCCCATACCCGACGAATAAGAGTCCTATTGCATCAAAATGATGAAAGTCCGTCCAGCCGTTCTCAAGTTACAGGAAATTAGCATTTGAGCATATAATATATTATGATAGTTCCTTATACTTAGTTCATTAAGTTTTAATACTACGAATGATCACTTGCTATGATTTTCTTTGCTAATATCATAATTTCACATTCCTGAGTACTTGTGTCCATGGCCACCTCATATGGCCACATTTAGTGCATATTGAGACGTTCCATATCACGGATTTCCATAATATCCGTTTTAAGCCGCTGCTTCACAATCTCGCGCCAAATGGCCTCGCGATCTCGATTGTCCGTGATGCCCATTCGCTGCAGGGTTGAGTCTGTGATGCGGAGCAGAGCTCGACCGGTAATGTCATGCTAAAAGCAGAGAGTTCAAATCGGGCAATTAGTAGGCTAAATGTTTCAAAGATTTAAATTCAAATAAATAGACGTTGGCTATTGATAAATTGCTAATTGTTCTTGTTGAACTAGAACCTGAGAACTATGGCACAAGTGCTTCGGGACTATAACAAAAAGAATAAGCAACCGCACGGGTAAGTTGTTTTTCTTACACTCACCTCTGCAAAAAGTCCAACGTATTTAGTATATTCCCCGCAGTGTCGGTCGTACCATTTCTGTACGTCGCCGACAGTCCATTGGTGAACGGCCTTTGGTCTCGTTGTTTTGGCTCGTACTTTGTTTTGTGTCACATTCCCGGTTTCTTCACCCATTATTGCGCTATTTGTGCAGTCTCTACGAGAAAGATCTAGCAATTTCCCGTATTGCGTCCAACTTGTCCTAGACAACAATTCGACTCCTACACTTTTCTATTTTCGATCTCTTTGCGATATCAATATCTATCGATAATTACGAACCAGAACTAGTTTGCTGTATTTATTATCAGCTGCCACATAAATATGCTTACGTTAAAACCTATTTTCTTATGTTTATTGTCAGCCGCCGCAAATATTATTCTTTGAAGTCATTATATTTGTTTGTTTTATAAATATATGTTTTTGGCTGGACTTAAATTGTATATGGTGTGGAGCAATTAAATACCAATTTTACATATTCTATATGTAGCGTTGCAGAAAACATTATTCGATAGTTATTGTCACGTGGCTATCGCTAGCCGCACATCTCGAATCGTGACTGGCGCTTAATAACAACGACAACTGAAATCAGCATACTACAAAAGGTGTGAGAAAACACACAAATACGCAATAAATACGTTCAACCATAGCTGTTAATTCAAAAATAAACTTGCGTCTGAATAGTGCACTAGTTAATACACACTTATTTATTTGATTTGCAACCGTGTGCGTTTAAAAAAAACTCAACTTCCAATTTTCCAATCCGCAATCGTCGCCGCAACAGTAGCAAAATGGCCGGAGCTACACTTTTCGAACGTGCCCAGGCGCTGTCTAGTGTGAATCGCGAGGAGGGCATTACCCTGCTGAATAAAATTGTGCGTGAACAAGAGGTGGCCGAGAACGATGAGGAGCTCATACGCATCAAGGAGCAGGGCATTATGCAGCTCGGCGAGCTCTACAAACAGGAGGGCAAGGCCAAAGAGCTGGCCGATTTGATCAAAGTGACACGTCCATTTTTGAGCCTGATCAGCAAGGCCAAGGCCGCGAAGCTGGTGCGTTCGCTGGTCGATATGTTCCTTGATATGGATGCTGGCACTGGCATTGAGGTACGTTGACCATTCGGATTTGTCCCTATAGCGTCTAATCCAATTTGTCTTTTCATTTCTGACAGGTTCAATTGTGCAAAGACTGTATAGAGTGGGCTAAGCAGGAGAAGCGCACCTTCTTGCGCCAATCGCTGGAAGCTCGCCTCATTGCCCTCTACTTTGACACGGCTCTGTATACGGAGGCCCTGGCTCTGGGCTCGCAGCTGCTGCGTGAGCTCAAGAAATTGGACGACAAAAATCTGCTGGTTGAAGTGCAGCTGCTGGAGAGCAAAACCTATCATGCACTTAGTAACTTGCCTAAGGCCCGTGCCGCTCTAACTTCAGCGCGTACTACGGCAAATGCAATCTATTGTCCCCCGAAAGTGCAGGGCGCTCTCGATCTCCAGTCGGGCATTTTGCATGCAGCCGACGAGCGTGATTTTAAGACAGCATTTTCGTATTTCTATGAGGCATTTGAGGCCTTTGACAGCGTGGACAACGTCAAGGCACTGACTTCTCTCAAGTACATGTTGTTGTGTAAGATTATGCTTGGACAGTCGGACGATGTCAATCAAATAGTTAGCGGCAAGTTGGTAAGTAATTATAATAAAATCTAATTAATATATGTAATTAATGATATTAACAAATTTGTATTTAGGCCATAACTTACTCCGGCCGCGATGTTGACGCCATGAAAGCCGTGGCGGAGGCCTCACATAAGCGCTCGCTGGCCGACTTTCAACAGGCATTGAAGGACTACAAAAAGGAGCTAGCTGAGGATGTCATCGTACAGGCACATTTGGGCACGCTATATGACACAATGCTGGAGCAGAATCTATGTCGCATTATTGAGCCATATTCGCGCGTACAGGTTGGAGAAATTTATATATATTTATTCGAATGAAACGAATACATCCTCTGGTATACATTTTGCAGGTGTCCCATGTGGCTGAGAGCATTAATCTGCCCATGCCACAGGTGGAAAAGAAGCTATCACAAATGATATTGGACAAAAAATTTAGCGGCATTTTGGATCAGGGCGAGGGCGTACTCATCGTCTTTGAGGAGACGCCAGTGGATAAGACATATGAGCGTGTTCTGGAGACCATACAGAGCATGGGCAAGGTGGTCGATACACTGTATCAAAAGGCCAAGAAGCTGTCATAAGTACTCTAAACTGGAATATGCACATACAGACCCCTAATCTGCTCTCCCCTTCCCCTACATCCGCGCATCAACATTTAATTATTATCTGGCGAAGTTAGAAGACAATTTTTTTTGGTTATTCCCATGCATTCTGCAACCGAAGAGAAAAAATTCCCACAGGGGATCCCTTTGAAAATCATCAACTTTGTTATAGCCACATCTTTGTATGTTTCGATACAATTAACAACAGCTGAAAACAAAAACAAATAATAAAATAAAAACATGTATTGGTGGTAATAGCAGTAAAAATATTGTGTAAACCATAATAAAAATATCTCTAAGCGTAATTAATTATCCCAAAACTAATAAGCGAAATTATTCAAATAATAATAAAACGGATAGAAAAAACGAAACGAATCTCACAAATTATTCTGCTTTTGGGAAGTAAAGTTGCCCAACTTACGATCTGATGATGAATAAACTTTTTAATAGTTTTTCGTTTAGTTTTCTAAAAAAGCAATTTCAATTTTTACTAATCATCTCAGAAAATTCGTAGACAGGCTGATTTTGATATTTACATATTTTTTATTATATTTGATCTTACGTAATGAAAATAAATAATTTGCATATTCAAACATACATATGTATATAGAAATATATAGATATTTAACCGAACATGTGAGTTAGACCCAAGCCGGCGCCAAAGTTGGTTTTGCCACTGAAGGGGCCGCTGGTCCACTTGTTGGCATTGCCGGTCAGATCGAGGCGAGTGTTGCGATCCTGTGAGGACCAGAGATTGGCGCGTGCATCCAGACCCAATTGCTTGCCAATGCCGGGAATATTGCTGTGGGTCAAGCTGGCGCCGTGGCCATTGATGTGGGAGTAGTCCAGGCCAGCGCCATTGCGCTGGAACTGAAAGCCGTTGGCCAGCTTGTTCTGCGAGGCAAAGACTTTGGCGTCCAGGTTGTGTTTGCCGTTGTTGAATAGATTGGCATGCGCCGACTGCGTGAAGCTGTCCTGTACGCCGGGCGTGTGGGTTTTGGTCAGATCGAAGCCATGGCCATGACTGTGTGGGGCGAAAAATCCAACATTAGCTAGGCAATTGGGGGAAAAGTGTCTTCAGGGATTCACTTACTTATTGTAGGCCAAGGATCCTCCGGTGGTGACAGGTCCCTTTTGTGTATTGCCCGCTGCAAAGACTTGTCCAATCACATTGTGATCGGGTGAGCCGATGCCTTTGCTCAGATTCAGACGTGCATCGGAGCCACCAGCCGGATTCGAGGACACCGAGCCGCCCAGCACCTGGCGACGCACTCGAATGGGACGCGGCGGTGGTGTGGGTCGTGGATAATACGGAAGGGTTTGGAAGCGCTGTGGCATGGCCTCCACACAGACACCAATGGCCACAATGGCCAGGATGAGAATGCTGCTGCTACGGCTGCTGTGCATGTTGCTTCGTTGAGTTCTTGCTGTTGACTGATGATTGAATGTTGCCACAACTGGCGCTTATATACTCCATCTACATCCAAATGGGGAAGTACAATGTGAGCCTAGGCTGTTGGCTTAGGTGATTGGGGCGCTGATTGTGATTCACCCTCGCTGACATCGGTCTCTGTTTCGTTGTCTTTTTCTCTCGTTGTCTTATCAGCTGCAGCGTCTTTGCGAAAATCCCCGCGCGTAGTTCGAAGCCATAAAAAAGTTTTTGCTTGCCTGCCTCCACTTGTTGCTGTCCACAGTGCGGTAGGTTCTAAGGCAACAAGAGTAAAGTTGAATGGAATACACGCATACATGCATGTGTATGTGTTTGTATATTAAATACGTCTCCAAAAATAATATACTAAGACCACAATTAAATTCAATTTGATTTAATATGTAAATCACTCAAAGCAATTTCAATTTTAACGAAGGCTTCAACGAAAGATCTGAACGAAACTGATGTGTTAAAATGTATCCTTGTGTGAGTGTGTAAATCTCCCTCCCTCTCTGTCTATGGGTGTATGAGTGCTTAAGCCTATTGACGTATGTTTGTAAGTGTGCGTGAGTATGTCTGCAGGCAGAGATTTATGTATGTTGAGTGGCTGCCTGTCGGGTTACTTCGTTAAGCACAGATGAAACAGTTAATTTCGAGCATCTGAAAGAAGAGAATGGGAAGAGAAGTTTGAGCGAGCGCAAAGAGAAATTTTACACTCAATTTGAGTGGAGTGGAATCTATTTTTGGCAAAAACTTAATTCAATTGATGCGCAGGAGCAGAGAACACATGCAAAGAGAAAAGCAAATAATGAGCGAAAGCTATATATAATTAAAGAAAGCTTAAACCAAAATTATAAATTTAAAATGTAATTTAAAATAAAACTTTAAATTATTAAATAAACAAAAAAGTATTTCAAGTCTTTTAATGTAAGAGTCTTTATCAGCATACATCGTAATGACGTCGTAGGCAAGATCAGCTTAATTGGCGTTGCTGGCAAACAAACATTTTTTTCGAGGGGAATTTCTGGTTTTTCTAGAAATGTATTAATGAAAAAAAAAGGAACCATGTGATGATATAGTAGCTGTGCCTAAAGACTTTCATGTGGTTTATTCGCATTATTTATATGAATGTATACTGTAGCTTCTAAATGTTGACTGATGACACAGACAAATGCTTATCAATTGCTTGGCTCAAACAGCATCTATTTCAGCTATACAAAATGAGATAGGTTTTATTTATTTATTTTATTTTTTTTGTATAATATATTTATGTTTATTTAATTTGTCTTTGAGGCTTTTATTTAAATAAATTTCATTTGTAAAACACGTATAAATTGAAATGGGACAATATATAAGCATATAATAAATATTAAAAATATTTATGTGCTTGAAACTCTATAGATTTAAAATATATTACATATTACACATATACAAAGTAAATATATTTATCTTCAATTTCTCTAAAGAATAATATTATTAATTAAATTATTCGCCAATCTTTCTCAAATATAATTTAAAGGTCCTTCATGCTGTGGGGCTCAGCTCTTTTGGAAGGAAACTCTCTTTGGACTGCTTGCAACTCGCTCTTAGCCGGTGCTGTGACGCCTCGTATGTCAGCGTTGTCGAATCTCATTAGGTTTAGCACACGAATCGCGCTTGAGCGAGCTTTTCCGTTTTCCGCTTTTCTTCGTTCTTGAGCGTTTCTGTTGTTGGTTTATTTGGCTCTTGGAAAACTGTGTGTGCGCTGAACAATTTGTCAAATGCGCGTATAGAGGCAAGACGCGATTTGTCTGTAGAAAAACTTTGCTTATCGATTACGCACGTAACACATTGCTTCAGCTATAACCGTGAAAATTTTTGAAATAAATGTGCTAACAATACTGGTGTGTAAAATAGTTTAAAATAAACAAATTTAAATCAATTTTAAATCGAGTTTGAATGAAAAAGTTCAAATATATTTGTGTCTATCCATAAATTGTGCTATACCAAGATTTTCCTGTGCTATCTTTAATGTTGGCCTTCACGTTGTATATAGAGGCAGCAGACATACGTCAATGTATACATACATAGCTGAGCCAAGAAGTGTCACTGCCAAGTGAATTATAAACTGTGCTTTGTCTTTAGAATTGTTGTGTAATTGAAGCTCTAAAACAAAATGGATATCCTGGGCAGCCTAGGAAAAATATATGTGCTTTTATAGCATACAGAAAATTTATATTAATATAAAAATAATAATAAGGAATATGAATTTTGTATTTTGAAAAATAATTTATAACCATTTGAAATATCATACAGAAAAAGTCCTTATATGTATCATAAAACAACAACAAGTCTGCTCCATATACATGCACAGAATATGTGTCTGGCTATGTATACACACGCACACACATATACATAAATGTACATACACATACACACATATGCGCCACAGTACCTTTCGCAGACAAACCCACTTACCTACATTTAGAACGTGCCAACTCTGCGTATGTGTGATAAAAGAGCAAAAAAAACAAAAAAAAAAGTTGCCAGGCTAAAAAGTGACAAAAACAAAATTCACTCATTCGCTCAGTTGAACGCGACGCGAGGCGACGCTTAAAGCTCAAAGCTAATGCAATACTCACTCAAGCCAATGCTCAGTGCCCTGTGTGGCTCCGTTGCCCGCCTCTCCCTCTCTCACTCACTCACACACACACAGAAATCATTAGGCAACCTACCCTCGCCCTGTGCGCTCAAGCAGTTTTTTATTGTGTCATTCGCTTTGTCATTTATTATGAAATGTGCATTTTCAATGTTAAGTGCGACAGTTGAAATGGACAAATGGGAAAATGGAAAAGTGGAAACATGAAAAATGCATGCCCAAAGGCATAATCTGTATAATCAGGAAATCTAACAAAGGCAGCTGGAAATTGAAAGAGCAACTCTTTTAGCCTGGCTTATGGCTTTGTTATTGTTGTATTGCCTCGATTTGTTTAATATGATTGATTTTAATCTAGCATATAATATATTATATATCATCATATACATATGTTTATATATATTAGAGTACTATATAATACATTTATGCAACAGGTGATAGGTATGGATAGGTATGTGTGTATGGAAATCAATAATGAAAACTAAAACAAATACATCCATATAGAGTATGTATGTATAAGAAAACTCAATATGTTATATGTGCATGTAAAATAATATAAATCTTGTATATAGGTATATATATAAACAAATGAATATTTATTTATATATGGCTATTATGAATATTATTGAATGTCTGAGTTCCCAGTTTTGGTTCCATGTTGAGGTTACAGCTGCCATTGGCTGAACACAGGTCAAGTTTGGCTTCACTCGCTTTTGCTCTCTATGCAACAACTGCATTCTTACAATTCTCAAGTTGTTACAGCTTAGACAAACTTTGCAGCAAGAGTGACGAAGCAGCAGTCAATAGTAAAGTGGATTGATAATCGGAGGATCTAGAAGCTATGCCAAGAGCTATGCAGGACAAATTTCTAACATTTTGTGTGTAAAACTTTGTTCATTTGTGTTTAGTAATAAACAAATATGAATAAGATGAATTATAAGAATATATTTAAGTTTGCTTAGAAAATTATAATTTTTTTAAACATATTTGTATATGCTCATATATTTACATGAGTTTCTGTAACCTTGTTTTATTGCATTACAAATTTTATTATTATATATACTTTTGATATTTATAGATAGGTCTATTTTTGTTCTAGGCTTCAAAACCTGAATTTTTAGCAAAGTAAATTTTCATTCTGAATTAAAGGTATTTGATCATATTATATATAATTAAATGAAATTTAGTTACCGTTTCAAAAGTCTGGGTAACAAATATTATTATATATGTAATTCTATTTTTGTTCTATTTTGTATTAGATTGAACTACATAT